CAAACTATTCTTGCAAGCAGAAATAGTGCTGAGCCAATGAATTTAAGAATAATGTAAGCATTCCTTATTCAGGGCAACAGACACTTTGCTAATGAGTTTAAAAATGAGTTCGAGAAAGAAATGCCTAGGCAATAATGTAAATTGATGAAAAGACAAACTATTCTTGCAAGCAGGAATAGTGCTGAGCCAATGAATTTAAGAATAATGTAAGCATTCCTTATTCAGGGCAACAGAGACTTTGCTAATGAGTTTAAAGATGAGTTCGAGAGAGAAATGATTAGGCAATAATGCAAATTGATGAAAAGACAAACTATTCTTGCAAGCAGAAATAGTGCTGAGCCAATGAATTTAAGAATAATGTAAGCATTCCTTATTCAGGGCAACAGACACTTTGCTAATGAGTTTAAAAATGAGTTCGATAGAGAAATGCCTAGGCAATAATGTAAATTGATGAAAAGACAAACTATTCTTGCAAGCAGGAATAGTGCTGAGCCAAAGAATTTAAGAATAATGTAAGCATTCCTTATTCAGGGCAACAGACACTTTGCTAATGAGTTTAAAGATGAGTTCGAGAGAGAAATGCTAAGGCAATAATGTAAATTGATGAAAAGACAAATTCAATAACAGTTTGTTTTTTTTATAAGAGGGAAGATGAACCTATGCAAGATCCTTAGGGAAAAAAATGAGTTATAATGCCAATATAATAAAGGCTTTAAATCGTTTATTTCCAGGTTTGCTAAAATAAGCCATTTTCCTCTTTGATTTTCCTTCTCCATTTTTTGAATATCCTAAGCATCGCTACTAACTAAGATATTAATGAGTTAGATATAGCAGTGTAGACCCTTTAATTAACACTCCTAGAAAAGTTTTATGATATATCCATGCTGATGTGTGAGCCGACTCCTATTCTACATATCAATTGTACTAAGAATTTTGCTAAAATTCCGATCATGATGACTTCTGGTAAGCGTAACCTTTTTAAATGTTAAATTATTCAAGACTGTGATCCTGCATGCGTGAAGATTGGCGTGTTGTCCAATTTCCTAATTGACATCGAAATTGGTTTTGCTACTTCTTTATGGATCGCTCAGAAATTACAACAAAAAAAAAATGTTAGAAAAGATAAAAATTTTACATTTACAAATTTAATATTTTACAATTTGATGTAAAAAAAAAAATACTATAAGATTCCTAATAGAAATCTTTGTTTTCTGTACTCTCTTTCAGCAAATCTACGACACCTAAGCCAATAGCATTACTACCCTTTTGATCTACCTCTCATCGCTACCCCTTCAGAACTCCAACATTTATTCTCCTGCAAAATATAAATAAACACCAATCAAAATTAGTGTATTCCCAACCTCTTTTAGTATTTATTTAGCCCCACCCTGACCTCTGCTTCTTCACTTTTATCAACGTTGATCATCACAATTCCTTACCCCCCCCCCCCATTTATCACTTCAATACAGAACTTAGCCCATTCCCACCGTAATAGACCGACTTATATATTTTAAATATTGGGCATTCACCGCGCAAAGGCATTTTTGGTCCCCGGGGTCTTCAAATGTCAAAGCACAACCATAATTCTATTATAAATTTTTAAATGACTTTGTCATTCAAAAAAAATTGATACATATTTTATATGTATACGTCATATATTTATGACGTTATCTGTGATATATTTCTTATAATTTTAAGGAACATATACTCATTATTTAAGAGTATTTTAATTTAGTAATTTTATTATTTTTACATATTTTTATAAAATAGTTATTAAAATTTTTTTTTAAAAGATATAAAAATGCCAAACCATTATTACCTTTTCAAAGTAAAAGTTTAAATATTTTTTATAACAATATAACTTATTTCAAATATTAAAATAAAAAAATATATAAAATATTTTCTATATAATGGGTAATTGGTTCATGAACAAATAATTATTAAAATTAAAAAAATAAATTTTATTTTTAAATTGATATTATTATTAATAAGAAGATAAAAAAAAAGTATCTTTATAGTTTCTTATCTTTCACCCAGATGGAAAAAACGCTTCTTATTAGCGAAATTCGCCATAATTCGAGATATAAAAATATTTTAAAATAAGTATCATTTTTAAAAAAACAACGATTCTTTTTAATGCTGGGTTCTTTTTATAGGTTATGGCTTTATGGTTTTATATAATTTTGTTTTATATTTTTTTTTTGTTTTTTTAAACTTTTTTCCTTGGGTTATAATATAATTTTGATTTTCAAAATTTTTGCTATTCTTTATCCTTACAATATCTTCTTTTTTTTTGCTAATATTTACATAAAAATATTACTTAAATAAATCATGGTTTTAAGGAAAATACTGTCTTTAGACATCTCATTAATAGTCATAATTCTTTGCGACTTATTTAAGGTAAATTTTAAATTTATTATTATTATTTGCTTTTTAAAAAATTTATAAAATTTAATTTTAAAAGACAGGCGCACTATCGTTTCAATTACAGCCTAGAAATCGGCAAGATTTTAACGGGTAAGTTTAAAAGTTTATAATAAGAACTAGAGATCTCCAGAAATAGGTCCGGCCCGTACCCGTCTCGAACGGGTTTCGGGCCGGACCTATTTTTTTTTAAATATCGGGTTCGGGCCGGGTCGAGCTAACCGGGTCGAATAACTAATAAAGAATATCTTTACAAATTTTATGCACATATAAAAAAAATAATATATTTTATAAATTATGACAATATTTTTCCCCAGGGTTATTTACCCATTCAAAAATTGTGATAAAATCTAAATTATTTATTAAGTAAAATGGGACAAAGGGGGACAGATTGAGGTGGAACAAACTATATTTAAACGCCCAACATTCTTCATAGATCTCCATTCCCAAGGAAAATACTTTCGGAATCATTAAGCCTAAATTATTATATTTTATTAATTTTTCTAGCTTGTAAATTTAAATTTTTTTTTTTTTACACCCAAATGTGTTTTTTTTTACAAATACATATAGGATTAGTTTTATTATTTCAACATTACAAATAACTAGTTTCTGAAGTATATTACTAATTTGCCTAATTTAGCCTAAAGGTGATCGAAATAGATTTATTACCTAGACAACAGCACATTGTATCAGGAAGAGTCGTCTTCGAAACACCTAATTACCCTTTACCCATTGTACAAGAACCTAAGAAGGAATATTATTCTCCAGCTAATTCGTAAGTTTAAAGTTATATTGGGATGTAATAAAAAAAACACACAAATTTACCAAATAAAAAGAAAAGATAAGAAAAGTAGAGACATTTCTTTCACCCCTTTGGAAGTCATGATGATCGGAATTTTTAGCGAAATTCTTAGTAAAATTGATATATGTCCCCCACTCCCAAGAGGAAAGATTTTGAGTATTATAAAAACATAAATTATAAAATCAAAATGTTTTTATTTTCAGGAAAAAAAAGTTTAAAAGTTTTCTATATTCCCATAACCTGTTTAAAAATTTCTTTTTTAAATATTGCCGGAGTCCTATATTTATATTCTCATTTTTATTCTTCAAAATTACAAATCAATTTCTTAATATATTTTCAAAATAATATCGTTGTTATTTATATAAGAAAATTTCATATTTATATTTTATTAGTCTAGAAGTCAATGCAGATCTAATACCTAGAGGCAAGCACATAGTGTCTGGAACTGCTTTCGAAATACCTAAATACCCTTTACCCGTTGTACAAGAACCAAAGAAGAATCCTTTGCCAAACTCTAATCCGCAGTTTTATTCGCCAGCTAATTCGTAAATTTATAATTCGATATAAAAAAACAGAAAATAATAATTAAAAAAAACAAGCTTAAATATATCACTCTTTATCGAAATTTTTTAAACATTAAAAATTAAAGATTAAACAGCATAATAAATTGAATGTAAAAAATTGGTATATGTCTTCCTAATATATTGTACTATTGGTTTTTTTTTTCTATGGAACTATGTGCCGCTATTACGATATGTCATTAAATGTCGTGATTGTCATTATTTGTAAAATGCTGTAAAAAATGTAAAATTGATTAATATGGTAATAGAAATTTTTTTTTAAGTACGCTATAAGTAGAAAGGCTAACTCAGTATTTTATCCAGAAAAATATTACTCAAGCCTGAAAATTTTGCCCATAGATGGGGGTACAAAAGTCTAGACAAGCGAAATCTGGTTTCTGGCCTAAATATAGAGTTAGCCGTTTTTCACAAAACGAGCCGTTTTAACAACACTAATAAGTATAGAGATATTGGTAAAATGTTTAAAAAAGAGTGATGTCAAAGATGTAATCTTTTTATTTGTTATTGAACTTTTCATCGTTTTGTATCAAATCAAAATATATCAGCTTGTTCCTTAGTCTATTTAATAAAGTTTAACATTCATTAGTTCCTTAAATTGGTAGCCTGTGACGTATTATCTTCGATAAATACCCGGTAATAAACCACAATTCCCGGGGTCGTTTATTATAGTAGCGTTGACGTAGTGCGTATACCGATTTTTTAAAACGTCCGTATTGCCCCACTCTGCGAAATCAAAAAACTATTACTCTTTGGGGTGGTACATGAACCTTGCCTAGTAGCGAAGTGTATACAAAATACGATATATATCAGAGACACGCTAAAGTTACTCGGGCCGGGCCGGACCGGGCCTGAAAATTTTTTAAAAAAATATCCGGGCCGGACCTGAATATTTTTTTTAAAAACCGGGGCCGGGCCGGAAATTAATTTTTAAAAAAAATCCGGGCTGTACAAATGATACCTCTGCAGGTTCTGATATATATATATATAAATATAATATAATTTTACATTCATTTTTTATTTGATAATTCGCCGTGAATTAGCGGTAACTGTGAATGCAAGGGATAAGGATCGGTTTCTAAGCAAAAAAAAATTTTTTAATAAATTGGTTTGTTTTTTTTTCGTTTTTTCACTTAAAATTTATTTAATAAGGATATACTCTTTTAAAGCAATAAGACATAATGTTAGTTTAGTATATGATGTAATGCTCCTTAATATAACTTATTATAAGATCTCTATTTTTATTCATATTCGAACATTATAATAATAATTCGCGAAATTTAATTAATATATGAATATTATAGAGTAGTAAGAGTGGTTCACGTAGGTTTAGCACCCAGGAATAAGCACCTCGTTCAGGGTACGGTCTTCGAAAAACCTCATCATTCACCCATCGTTGAGGAACAAAAAAACTATCCCTTACCGGATTTGATACCAAAATATTACTCTCCGGCCAAAGACGCGAAGGAAACGTTCAAGGAACAAGGGAAGGAACACGTGGAGGAAAAGCGGAAGGAAAGCGTTAGAAAGAATTATCAGGATTCTGGTGAGCAAGAACATAATTATAATGCCTATGGGGTAGGTCCGAGCTTTGGTAAAGAGAAAATGGAAGATGAAAAAGGTTTGCTTTATATATATATATAACTGTATTAACTTTTGAATAAGGATAGATGGAAGAAATTAACTTTATCTATTAGGTTTAATTTTACTTCTACAACTTAACCCCTCTTGATAAATTATGGAGTTATATAAATGGAATATATTATTTTCGCATTGGGGTTTTCGCGAATTCAGGGGCTCTGCTAAATGGACCGATATTTTTAGCAAATTATAAGAACTTAAATTATCTTGAGCATATGTTACATAAATTTTAAAATCCCTTACTTTACCAGAATCGGCGCAATGTGAGATCTTTCAAAAGAAAATATTTAGGAAGGAAGGAAGGAAGGAAGGAAGGAAGGAAGGAAGGAAGGAAGGAAGGAAGGAAGGAAGGAAGGAAGGAAGGAAGGAAGGAAGGAAGGAAGGAAGGAAGGAAGGAAGGAAGGAAGGAAGGAAGGAAGGAAGGAAGGAAGGAAGGAAGGAAGGAAGGAAGGAAGGAAGGAAGGAAGGAAGGAAGGAAGGAAGGAAGGAAGGAAGGAAGGAAGGAAGGAAGAAAACATATGGTTGTATTTGAAGGATTGGGTTAGATCTTAAATTATGTTCTCATTTGATTTCTACAATATAAATGTAATAGGCCCTAGAATAAAATTCCAACATGGCTGGAAAAATGGACGAGGATATGGTCGTTTCAAATTCATGGATCACGATAATTATCCCTATAATAAATACAATGACTACGTAAATAATAATAATTATGAAGAAAATGATAATGTCAATGCCGATGTAAATAATAACGATGATAACGTAAATGATTATAATGATGATTATGATATCGATTACGAATATTACAATTGAAATGCTTACTGTTATTATAAAAAATAGAGGATAACTTAACCCTGATTCACTTGTTTTCTTTTGGGTCCGATCGTTTAATTTATAACAGAGACTTGCAAGCCCGGCCTTAAACCCGGGCCGGGCTGGGCCTGAAAATTATTTTTTTTATTGAGCCTTGCAAATAGTATCTTTGCAGGTCTCTGTTTTTTATAAAAAGTATCGAAACACTGCCCTATCCGGAACGCGATCCGAAATGCGTACGAAAAAGAGCCCGTTACAAAAAAAAATTTCTATCAAAATTATTTGATAAAGCAAAGCAAATTTAAATTAAGCCTTGATTGATGCTCCATTTTAAAACGTTTTTTTTTTCAATGGTTAAAAAAATATATATATAAGACTGATATTTTGATCATAATACTAAACGATTCTTTAACGAAGCATTATAGAAGTAATCTAGGGAAGGCTTATTGACTCTAATACCCCTCATACCCCTCCTCCCCCCTATAAAACATGATTGAATTACAAAGGATACAAACTATGCATGTTTACTGAGAGGTTTGAAGCGGCTTTTTAAATGAAAAGCTTAGGTCATGTCCCCTTTTTTAAACTGCGAGAACTATATCTAGAAAAATCTCTAAAATATTATTTACTTCCCTTGAGACCATTGAATAAAAGATTATGGTTCCTTTTTGGGAACTCAATTGTAAAAATATTTAACCATGCCTATACTAATAATATAATCATTAAGATTTAACACAAAAAATAATAGAAAATCCTCAGTTAAAGATTTATTGTAGAGCATAGGTCTAAAAGATGTTTATAAAAAAAAACATTTTTAAAAAAACAAACACATATATTAAAAAAAATTAAATGTTAATAGCCCCAATGAGAGATATTCAATAGTTAAAAATAATTTAATATTATATATGATATCAAATCAGGAAGAAATTCGGGGCTAATCAGCTGTTGATTATCCTAAAAATTACGATAAATATCCGTCATTGTAATGTAATGACATAACATATATTAAAACTTGTTTGCTAATTTTCCCTTACAATTCATTTTTAAAAATATTTGAAATTATTATATTAAACCACATACTTATAGATGTTCCGAACCGGTGCGTCATCTGTTAGCAAAATCTTCAAGACTTTGCGTTAATATTTTTCTATCTAAAATATTGAGCTAACCCCCCTTTGTTGCGTTTATTTAATTTAAAAACAAAAAGAAAAAGAGAGTTAATAGAACCAATTTAAAATAGAATATCTTTAATTCTAGGTCTTGCACAATTCTTAAAATTCCCTATTGCAACCTAGTGGTTTAATAACAATAAATAAATGACACTATACGGTCTAAATTTTGTCATCATTTTTATCAAAACATATATAAATATTTTGTAAATTTTTTTTTTAAAGAAAATTACATTTTCCGTCGTTACTTTGATATCAAATGATTAATATATAATAAAATATTTTTCGATACATCAAATTATATTAACTATAATAAAGTTGAAAACAAGTTTTAAATTAAAAAAATATATAAGTATTATTATTAGTGTTAAAAAATGGATATAGAATTAGATAAAGAATAAAAAACATTATGACCATTTCCTTAAAGTATATATATATTAGTTACAAAAATTTAGAAAAAAATCTAAAAATATATTTAATTTAATCAGTTAAAGGTCGCATTCAACTTGATTAACTGTAACGGAAAACACATTATCAAAATAAAGTGAAGAAAAAAAAATTTACAATTCTCGACAATAAAAGTATATGTAACATGAAATCCAAAATTTATTCATTATTCATAATAATAATAAAAAATATTTTCTTTTATTATCATCCCTTGTTGTTCTTTTCCATTCAAAGAAAAAATTACTTATTTGACGCGATTCAATTTCTTGCAAACGGTATTGATTCAAAATGACGCTAAGAATATTAATATAAAAACCCTGTCGCTTCTCCCTAAAGATTATTTGAATGGGATTTAAACAGTTAAAATTTTTAAAATTATCAACATATCTTATACGTTTATAAGTGATATTAGACGGCTCGTTTTGAGCCGATAAAAACGGCAAGCTCAATATTTTAGCCAGAAAAATAGTGCCTAAGACTAGAGATTCCGCTAATAGATGTCCTAATCTTTGTTCTTTCTACAAACAAAATCTTCAGGCTTGCGTAATACTCTTCTGGATACAATATTGAGTAAAAATCGGCTTGCTTGATGTGAAAGAAAGAAAAATTATACTAATAGAATGATTGTGCCACAAGGAAAATAAATATTTATAAAAATAAAAACTAAAATTTTGTTTCGTAGAGATTTCTTTATAATGAAGGTAAACTATTTAAAAACTGGGTATACTAATGCTCATCCATTTTTTAAAAATTAGCGCGAATTTTTAAAAAAGTGGAGCGCTTTGCCACTCAGAGCACTTCGCTAGCGAACGCCAGTAGTGTAGTTCTTAGCGTTTTAACTTCCACTTAAGATTCTTATCTGGGCATCTTGCTAGATTTTAACCTGTCGAAATATTAGGTGTCTATTTTTTCGTCGATATATTTTTATAGCAGAATTTTTTGAGCTTTGAGGAATCATTATTTTAATCTTGTGTTACATACCAATAATCTTTGAAAACTTTTATATAAAAAATTCCTATTTGCTCCGATATTATTGTTCTATAAGAGGTGGTTAACTATCAAACCTTAAATGACAATTAAATTTCTATTTTAATTTTGGGAACATGATAAGCCATATACCGCTATATGCTTATTTAGCAAGAAAAATATGATATCTTCCTTCATTGCTCATACACTCTAAGTCGAATTGATAGTATATTTTACTAAGATATTAGATGAGAAGGGATATTCAGACAATAACATCCGCCCCAAATAATTAATTACAATTATTTTTCAAAGAGTACAAAATCGAAGCCCCAAGTGTTCCCTATATTTTTTAACATATAAACTACATTTTTAAGATCCAAATCTTTCTTACAAGCAAAATCTCCAGGGTCGCATAACACTATTTTGGCTAAAATTTTTAGCGGGCCGTTTAACTCGCGTTATTAACCGGGATCGTTTTGAGCCGATTTTTAAAAACGGCTAACTCGATATTTTATCCAGATAAATATTACGCACGCCCTGAAGATTTTGTTCTTAGAAGGAACTATGGTTCTAAACATATTTTATAGAAATCTCGAGGCTTATGCTATATTTTTCTGGCTAAAATATTGAGTTTTAAGTCGTTTTTTTACAAAAACGGACTCAAAACGAAACGTTTAACAATAGCGTAGCCATGTTTTTATTCAGAAATATTCTAATCAATCTTCAAGTTGACACTCAACTTCTTAGAGGCTTAATTCAACTTTTTAGACTGATAGTTTGACTAAGCTACAATAGAGATGATCAATGTTAGGTCATTTAAAAACATTAATACTACGTTTAACAACACTAATTTTTAGCATTTATCAACGGGTTGTTGAAAACAAGGCAATCTTTAGAGTTCAAGCAGAGGTTCAGGCTTAATTCAAACTTCATTAAAAATTAGTTTTTATTTTTTTTTTAACATATATACTAAAAAAAAATTTTAGAAATGAAAGGTGACCTGTATTTTTTGCCCTTTTAAAATTTGGAAGTAATTTGAATTATATAAACCTTTATTCAATCAAGCAATGAACCCATATATCTTCTAAGTAAGCTATGATCATCCTATTTACAATAAGCAAGATTCAGGTAACAATCGGAGAAACAGATCGAAATAGAAAGAACTGAAAAATAAGAAACAATATATATATAAAATTATGAATAAATAATTTTACAATTACTTTATTACATGATCCAACATATACATAATTTTAATAATGAGACATAAAAAATTAAAGGGCAAAGGGTTAAAAGCTAAAATATAAATCAAAAAAGAATTCCTTCCCAAAACTGACAAGTGGTATAATAATTGACAAAATCTCAATGATATATCTTTTCTTTAAATAATCATTTACATAGTCTGTAATATTAAATAATATCGTAATAATTCTTTTAATTTAAATAAGACATTTTTCGTTTTTTCATCTAGATATTTACAACACTATTTATTTTAAAAAAAAAAATTCTAAATTTCATGATATAATATTTGGGGTGTATGTAACTCATTTTATCAGGGTCAAAATCTGGATGACCATTGGGATCCCTGATTGGAATGATGACAATGGTCAACAACATTTTTGTCCATGAGGCCTTTGATGGTTGCATTAGCAAAAAAAAATTCTAAAAAATGGATGCATAAAAAGTGAAAACATGTTGAAATTTTTTTAAAAAAACATATAATCTATAAAACAGCTTTCATTTTACCTGAGCCCTGCGCAAATAAATCTGGGTCATGAAGACATTTTCTATGAATTGGTCAGACTCAGATATTAATATATCAATGTCATCTGTTAGAATAACCGTAAAAATGCTCACAAATTTTTTTGATTTTTATCATGTTTTCCCAAGTTAAAATATTCTCAGATTTTATATCCAAAAGCTTTAGGTTTTTTTTGCTCATTTAAAATATATATTGTTATTAACCAATTCGAAACTAATTTAATGACTATGCTCGTTTAAGCCTAATTTATAATTTTTTTTGTTAATAATAGAAAAATAATAGGAGACTATAAGTGCTAACCCAAAATCAGTCAATTTTTAAAACATTTATAGTAGTAAATATATTAAGAGCTTTTGTATTTTGTATAATACATTATCCAAGTAATTTAAAGAATATTTTCAAATTTATGAGAAAAAATAAAAACAGAAGAATTATTATGGATTCCCTTTTGATTATTTTTAAACAATGTTCTACTTTTACGAAGTTCATTTTGAACGCGTTCGTGAACGAAGTTCATTTTGAACGCGTTCGTGAACGAAGTTCATTTTGAACGCGTTCGTGAACGAAGTTCATTTTGAACGCGTTCGTGAACGAAGTTCATTTTGAACGCGTTCGTGAACGAAGTTCATTTTAAACGCGTTCGTGAACGAATCGTTCTT